AGTCGTTTATCAGCAGCTGGTCTCACATTTAGCTGACTCTGATCTGTTTGAGGTTTTCCAATCAGGGTTCAGGTCTGGCCATAGCACAGAGTCTGCTCTACTGAGGGTACTAAATGACATCTATCTATCACTAGATCACGGAACATCTGTGCTGCTTCTGTTATTAGACCTGACAGCAGCCTTCGACACAGTTGACCACGCGATTCTACTCGATCGCTTGGAACGATGGATTGGGATCAAAGGGTCAGCTCTGGACTGGTTTAGATCGTATCTCCAAAACAGGACATTCTGTGTTAAACTGGGTGATGTTTTTTCTTCTTGGGAGGGGCTCCGGTGGGGGGTCCCGCAGGGGTCGATCCTTGGTCCACTTTTGTTTGCCATTTATCTGCTACCTCTAGGGTCAATCTTTCGTAAACATGGCCTATCATTCCATCTGTATGCTGACGATTGCCAGATTTACTCTCCATTGTGTCAGGAGAAAGGTCACTCTATTCAGTCCTTTGTCTCCTGTGTTAATGAGGTGAAGTCTTGGCTAATGTCCAACTATCTACATCTGAATGAGGGAAAGACAGAGCTCATTGTTTTTCACCCCAACAGCAGGAATGTGGATCGTTATGCTGATCTTGGCCCTCTTTCTCCATACTCAAAACCAGTTGTTACCAGTTTGGGGGTGAAACTTGATGTAGGACTTAAATTTGATGCTCACATCAATTCTGTGATCCGGTCCAGTTTCTTTCACCTGAGACGCCTTGCTAAAATCAAGCATATGCTGTCGAGAGCCCACCTGGAGCGGGTACTGCATGCCTTTGTAAATTCTCGGCTTGACTACTGCAACTCTCTCTACGTAGGGTTGTGTCAGTCAACACTGCGTCGCCTACAGGTTGTGCAGAACAGCGCTGCCAGGTTCCTGACTGGGACCAGGATACGGGACCACATCAGTCCAGTTCTGGCCTCCCTGCACTGGCTTCCGATTTCCTATCGCTCACAATTCAAAATACTCGTCTTTGTTTATCATTTCTTCCAGGGTGGTGCTCCCCCCTATCTGGCCACACTCCTGAACAGACATTCCCCATCACGCACTCTGCGCTCCTCTGACCAAGGCCTGCTCGCTGTCCCTCGGTCTAGGTGTCGTACCCGTGGGGACCGGGCTTTCTCAGTCCTAGCACCGTTACTCTGGAACCAGTTGCCACCCTCAGTTAGGCTGCCCCCTTCTCTGCCAGTCTTTAAGAATCACCTAAAAACACACCTCCTCCGCTTGGCGTTTCCAGAACATGTTTGATTATGGCCCTCTATTATGTTGAATCTATTCCACAGTTTTCATTGGTACACTCAATCCATCCACTCAATCCAATTGTGTCTCACACATTTGTATTTTACCGGAATGTTTCATCTATCTTGTAATTTCCATTTTGTATTTTGTAATTTGTATTTTGTAATTAGAATTTCTTTTATTGTTGATTTATTCAGTATAATTACTTACAACTATACCATGTTCAGCGCTTTGGGCTTCCTGACAGGGTTGCGGAAGGCGCTTTATAAATAAAGCTTTGATTGATTGATTGATTGATTGATTGATTGAACACTGATGTCTTCACTCTCCAGGCTTTCTCTGAGGCTTTCTCTCTTTCTTTGAGGCCCTGGTACTTCTCTAGTTTCTTGTGTTCATTTTTCTTGATCTTGCCATCACTTGGTATTGCCACGTCAACCACGGCTGTCCTCTGTTGTTTGTCCAAAACCACAATGTCCAGTTGGTTCACCATCACCATTTTGTCAGTCTGGATCTGGAAGTCCCACAGGAATTTAGCTCTCTTGTTCTGTACCAGGGGGTTTGTTCTCCCACAATGGTATTTCAAGCTCCTCACTGCTGGCTTTTCCTGGTTCAAGTCAGAGGTAAAGGTTCAACAACAAGAAAGAAAAGGGTCTTCCTGGGAGATTTCCAAGACCTAAACCTCTGCTGAGTAAAAACAATAGAAAGACCCATTGTACATTGACGAAAAACATTTTCATATTCTCCTAAATGTCTGTGGACTGATGAGACAGAGGACAGTTTGGATAAAAAGAATAGATGTAAAATGTTGGAATAGTTGATCCATGAAAGTGATTACCTGAAACATTATACAAAATTAATCTAATGTTTCTGTTTATGTCTTTGTTAGCATCTGCTCTTGTTCCATAAAGGTATCCAAAACACTAACAACCCTGTTCATAACTGTAGCAGCCTAGCTCTGCTGTAATAAGCTGAGGCCACCAGATGGCGCCTCAATAACAAAAATCAAACTAAAACTTAAACCATAATTTTTGTGTTTTCAATGGTAACATAAAGACAATAAATGCAGTTTTTGTGGTTATTTTTTTAATAAAAAAGTTTTGACAATTAATGTACAGAAAAATCAGATGGAAAAGGAGTAATGACCCCAAAGTCTCCGTAATCTGATTGTTGAATATTAAGATTCTTTCATTATCACTGTCATAAAAGTGTGTGTGTGTGTGTGTGTGTGTGTGTGTGTGTGTGTGTGTGTGTGTGTGTTTCTAAAGTGGATTAAGTCTTTGGTTTTGTGTCATTTCTTCATTTGCAGGTTTATAGTTATGTGTGTGTAAATGTTTTGTCAAGAATATTCAAACTGTTGTGAAAATGTTTAAAATGAAAAGAGATCACAGGGGTCACGTAGAGTGAAACTGACTTTTTAGGAATGACAATCACAAGCGCAATGCTGCCCTCTTGTGGTCATTTATCTCACTGCATACAGCTGCAGGAGCACCGGTTGATCGCAAAACAAAGAAAACGAAAAATAAGCAAACGTGATTGATTAAAAAAAAGACCAAAATAAAAAAATCTAATGTTTCTTTAACATTAGGAAAAAAAATTAGGGCTGTTTTTTAAACAGATTTTCAACAAGATCAGGATATTTGTAGGATTTTTTAAAATATTAGTTTGTGATATTAAAAAGGTCAGATCACTTGAGCGGGTCTTTCAGCAGAATGATGAAGGATGAGAGGGTTGGGGCAAATGTTTCACCTGCTCAGGTGAGATGCTTTGAGCTGGTCTGCAGAGGGTAACATTCACTAGAAAAACTCCATGTGAGGACTTCACAACCATTTTTCATTTGCTTTTTATCAACACTAAGCTACTTATGAATGTTGAATCATTTTGTTTTTATCGCTTCCAAGCAGCCAGACTTTCCTGTAGCATGTTAAAGTGGCCTTACTTGGCATTTCTGAGTTTTATTTTTGTATTTTTCTTTGGAGTATGGCTGTTGTTTTATGCATTTTCTATCATTTTTCATTCCTGAATGCATATTGTGCCATGTGTGCTGTAATAAAAATTGGGTGGAAGTAGATAAAGGTCAGACCAATGGGTCAGACCCGTAATGTCAGACTATGCATTTGATGAAAGAAGACTCACTCTTTCTTTTTACAAAGAACACCAAAAAGAAGGCATCAGCCCAAAATATCAACAATTAATTAACTGGTTAAATGTGGATAGAAAATATCTAATCATTTCACCATGGTAAAACAAAACGCTCAGAAACGTAATGGCACACGTCCCATGGCCGACACTCGTTTTGACGTATAATTTGTGAGGGTGCATGCTGCCGTTTGAGCCACATTAGCTTCCGCGAAAAAATAATATTACAGGTCAAGATACTGGCCACATGCTGTAGAGGCCAAATAAAGATTTTTGGCTGATGTTGGGTGAACAACCCAAAATAATGATTTTTAGGTGATGTTTGCGTGAAAACCCCAAAATAATGATTTTTGGGTGACATTAAGGTAAAAAACAAAATAATGATATTATTCATGTATGTGTAAAACTGCTCCTTTAGAGAGCCTGCCATCTAATTACCCCTTAATTGATCATTGTGCAAATATTATGCAAATGTAAGTTATACCGTTGCTGCAGCACTGAAGCAGCAGAAAAATTAGATTTTGCAATAAATATGCAAAACATTTACATGTTAATTGTTTTAGAGCCGTTTTGTTGGCAGAATCTGATATTAATTTTAGCTATAAGCTAGGTGTTCTGACAAAACACCGGGAAAAAATGGGTCCCAACATGTTTTGTGGCGTTGTTATTTATATGTGACAGTGATATTGAAAGGCAGGATAAAAATGTTCACCTTTTTCTGTACTTCAGTTGTTGCACTGGAATTTTATGTTGTGCCATATTTAGGAAGTTTGGACCCCCCAACAGGCAACAGCCTTAACAGAAATGTCCAACCCCTCTCCTCTCCAGCATCTTCCACCAACTCCACCCCCAAGAGGTTCTCTGGTCAATTATCCTTTCAGCATGTCCTGAGCTGACGTGGAGGCCTCCTACCAGCAGGGCATGCCTAAAGACACCTCCCCTGGGAGGTGTCCAGAAGACATTCTGACCAAATGCTTGAAACACCTCATCTGGCACCTCTTGATGTGGCGAAGCAGCGTCTCTACTCCAGGCCGCTCCCAAATGTCCACGTTCAGCATCCATGATTAAAATATGTATGAAAAAAGTAAAATTAAAACATATAATTAAACAGAAAGGAAATGACACAATATTTTAAAGGGAAGAAAACTAACTGAACTTATTGAGTCGTTATTGACCATAAAGCCTGTGTAATATGGTGAATAGGGTCAGATCAGAACATTTGATTTAAACGTGTTTTTGTGATGGCTGGAAGCTGCTTGAACATGCCAGCTGTCTGTGTGCTTTAACATATCATTCAGCTGGAGGAAAACCGGGGTGGGGGTGTAACTCTGGACAGCTGCTCCTCTCAGCCCTGCATCACTCCTCCTCCTCCTCCTCCTCCTCATCATCTTTTCTTTCCCTCAGCTCCTTCTTTAAATCCCAGCTCAGATGTTGTTTCTCTGCTGATCAGGCAGCTTCTCTGCTCTCTTTCTGAATGCATGCTGACATGATTTAATACTTCAGATCATTGGAAGTGTGATTTATCTGTTTTTATACTGATCGGTGACTACGTGTGTTTGGACTCCAGTTTTAAGGCTCGTTTGTTGTCATTATTAATATTTACATCGTATTACAGCAGCAAATAGTCCAATAACACTTTACTGTTAGAATATAAAATTTGAATGATCCGATGGTCTATTTCCTTTCCAGATGTTGACCATCTCTGTCCTCCTGGTGCCTTTACTCCTCTATTCTCCTGCATCCTCCTCTCCTCTAGTGAAGGTAAAATCAGCTTTATTTGTATTTTTTTATCATACACTTCATTTTAACTTGTTAAATCAATGGGATAAAGAAAATATTTCATGAAATATAATTTCATAATGACCCTCTTGCTGTTGTTTGAACTTTTCCACAATTTTAATCAAAATTTGAATCAACATTAATTTAAAACTGATGTTAAAAATCAGTAAATTTAATGAGTTCTGGCCTGAATTCACTCAGACTGTAAAGCTGGGTTTCCAACTCTGTCATCTGTCACTTTTCTTTAGATTCTCAAATGTATTATTTGTGCTTTGTGAGTGTTTACCTCTAGAGTGTGTTTGCATGGTTTTAGAAAGATGAAGTCGCATGGAGTTGTGGAACCTTGAACTGTGTTAAAAGTGTTTATATTCTCCAGGTGAACAGATTCTCAGGTATGTTTGTGAGCGGAGCTTTTAGCTGTGTTTGTGGTTAAAAGCAATCTGCTTGTTTCTGTTTCTGTTGCAGCTGTTTCATCGCACACACACAAAAGTTCGTCTATCTATAAAATGATGCTTGTAAAGGTTCGAAACTAGAGGTCAAAGTTAGTGTAATGGATTAATTAATGGTTTTACTGGTTTTACTGGCTTATAAGTGTGTAGAGTTATTACATCGGTCAGGATTTATGGATTTTTATGTCTTGGGCCTTTTATTATGACTTCAGTTTAAGTACACTTGTCATTTTTGGTTCAAATGTTCATTCTTCCTGAAACTTCTGATCTCTTTTTAGTTTAATGTCTGCTCTGTCCATTGCTTTCTGGTTTTAGTTGGTTTTCTTTCAACTCTCGTGTAACACTTTGTATAAATTCCTGTTTTATGCTTTAACCCTTTTTTTATTTGTTTAGCAATCTGTTTTTTATTTTTTAGGAAAAGAAAAACATGTTTTCTGTTCATTTCTCATGGTGGCCAGCCTGCATGTTTTCTGATCTCAACTAATCTATTCTTTACTCCTGGTTCTTTCTGCCTTTGTTTTGTCTATTTTCATCATACTTGATTTTTTCATTAAACAATTTCAAGTTTAAGTTATTCATTTATTTAATTCAGTATTCTATACTTGCATTATATGCACTTGAATTTTTAATCTTCTATTTTACAAGACAGCCTTAAAAACATCAAAATAAAGCTGCTAATTATCATAAAATAAGACAATTTTAGGTCTGGAATGAGTTTGGACGAAACACATCAGAATAGAAAAGAACAAGGAAACAGTGGATTAAAGGTGAAACTGGAGCAGAGAATAAAGTTTTCTGTGAGAAGTACAAAATGTTTGTTACATTCAAGAACATGAAATGATAATTACACCCAAAGTGCAGCAGCAGAGTGTGTCAGCTGGTTGGTAACAGCAGGTTAGCGCTGCAGCAGGTGTCAGCTGCAGAGCTGCAGGCAACAGATGTGTGTGTGTGTGTGTGTGTGTGTGTGTGTGTGTGTGTGTGTGTGTGTGTGTGTGTGTGTGTGTGTGTGTGCACTCGTCTATACATCAAAGTGAGGACATTTTGCTGGTCCTCACTTTAGTACAATGTTACAGAGCTCTACTCGTTAGTTTTAGAGGTCTGGTGTGTATTAGGTAGGGTTGGAGTTAGGCACAATCTATTCACTAAAATAAATGCAAGTCAATAACGGCCCTCACGATAAATGCAAGACGTGTGTGTGTGTGTGTGTGTGTGTGTGTGTGTGTGTGTGTGTGTGTGTGTGTGTGTGTGTGTCTGTGCGCGTGTGTGTGTGTGTGTGTGTGTGTGTGTGTGTGTGTGTGTGTGTTTGTGTTGTGTTGTGTTTTCAAGCCACAAGTCAGGATATTTTGAAAACATTCAAATGTGTTTGGCAAGTGATGTAATTCTTTGTATTGTGTTTGCTGTAAAGAAGTGTTTTCAGGTGAGTGTTAAAGTTCAGGCAAGATAAAAATATGGTGGGGGCAGTGCTTCTACAAAAATAATAAGTGGCAGGTGTTGCAGATTTGCAGCAATTAAAACCTACCTACCTGGTTACTCCACATACGTATTTCATGAGCGTTTTTTTAACTCAGAAGTACCCCTGAAGGACTTAGTTGTTCATCCTTTTATCAAAACTTATTTTGAGCCTGAGAGGGTTAAAAGTATTGGCCAGACTCAGCATTAAAATTGTAGAAATTCAGTGTAACTATATGTTACCATCTATATAAATATGAACTGGGTTCAGTTTTTCTTTTTGTTAAAGAATTTTGTGATAAATCATTACAAAAAGTCTAAATTCTTTCCTCCAGAGAGTGAAAAACTGTGTTTCTCATACATCACTTCAAAACATAAAACAAGCTAGCTGCTGTTGCTAGTATTGAGAATAACTGCATTTTGTTTACTTTCGTGCTCTTAATTATTATGGAAAATTGCGTTTAAAGCTGTAGCAAAAGGTCTGAGCCATATGTTCGTGTCCTACACGCATTTTTAAGTAACATAGGTCTGATCTATAAATCCATCTGTAACCACACCACTGTTTCTGGACGCCAGACGAGTTCCGTTAGCATGACTGCAGCAACACTGCTAACCGTGTTAGCTCCAGTAAGAAAAAAACAAGTCTTTTGGGAAAGCTACGGCACACACACACACACACACACACACACACACACACACACACACACACACACACACACACACAGACAGATACGATCTAAAAGATGATCCCCTTATTTCAACAATAGGTCCTCCTGGGACCGGTAGAACCTCTGTATCACCCTGGACTAGTGCAGACGAGCTTAGCTAGAGAGTTACTCCAGCATCAGGAAGATTTATTCTGAGAAAGAAAGAAAGAAAGAAAGAAAGAAAGAAAGAAAGAAAGAAAGAAAAACAGAGAAAGAGAAACAGAGAAAGAAAGAAAGAAATCTTTTATATAGCGCCTCTCAAGATAAAAATCACAAAGTGCTTTACAAAAACTAAAAAAAGAAGTATAAAAACAATTAAAAAATGAATAAAATCATGTTTAAAATGAGAAAAAAGTTAAAATTGGGTAAATAAAATGTAAGGAAAGGGAGAGAGAAAATGAATAGGAAAGAGGGAAATCAGTGGATCGCATTAAAGGCGGAATATGTAGAAAAAGCAGAAGAAGGTATATATCAAAATATATACACACAGCAGTAATTCTGGCAGAACATTATTTATTTTGTCTGTAGATTATTGATTTATGTTGGGACAGGTGGTGGAGCTAGCTTAGAGCTCCCAGTGGAGCACAGAAATGAAAAATAAAATATAAAAGTAAACAAACTATTGATTTTGGTTCTGAAGATGAACAGAATCCTCCCCAGTGTTCAAATCTGGTCACGGGTCTTCTGAGTAAAACTGTCCAAAACATGTCTGCACCTCCGGTAGTGATATCCAGTGGGGTCGGAGTTCAGTTGAACTACTCCGGTAATCCAGTATCTGTCCTCATCGCCGTATCCCAGAGAAAAAACAAATCTGAACGACTAGTAGAGGCTTCAGAAGCTACATCTGATTGATGACACAATGTTCTCTGCTATAACGCTAAAGCAGAAACACCGGAGTCAGGCGTTGTTTACTGTAGCTGTTTCAGCAGATCTCCTTGTGAAACGTCACCAGCTGCTCAGGTCTTAGACCGGAAGTTAGTTTCTGTTTTTCCTGAGCCAGTCAAAGACATCAAATTTTCTTTAAATTCCAGCCGTGAAAATCCAAAACCTTTTTTATTTGAAGTTTTAATACTTCTTTACAGATGCCACTCAAAGGAATTTTGCCTCTGGCCAATATCTTTAAAACAGTATTTGTTAAAATGTCAGTAACATGAGTTACAAGCTCTTTTATCAATCAAACTTTATTTATGAAGTGCTATTCATACAACAAGTGCAACTCAAAGTGCTATACAAGATTAAAAACAACCACACAACAGTCAACCTCCCACCCTTGCCCCACAGTTCAACATCCAAGATTCTTTCTACAGTGTATCTCCCTCCCTAGATGCTAATTTTGAATTTGATGGACATATTGAATGATGGACGGATGAATTGTGAAACTGCAAAACTTTTACCTCACGTGGGCACATGAATTTAGCATGTATCTCAATGAGACACAGACCTAAAATAAGTTTTTAATAAACAAGTTATTTTCCTAAACTTTGTTGCTGTAAAACAAATTCCACATATTTTATAAGGAAATCTGTTCTAATTCCCATAGCAGATATTACTAAAGACACTAAAATAAAGAAAATTAGAAGTTATGAAGTTGACCCAACAGCTTAACACTGGTGTTTGGATTCCAGCCTGAAATACAAAAATAATTATTTTAGGGGCTAAAACTGAGACAGAACCAAATTGTTTTAATAAAAGTCATAAGTCTTTTTTAAAATTGGTGAGAACAGCCTTAAACTGCCTTGCAGCTGTTTCACTCAAAAGGCTGGGCTTCTAAGAGACATTGTCATTCATGCAGGAGTTTAAAGGTCACCATCTGGTGCGTGAAACATCCTCACATACTTAGGAGCACTTTGCATTGCTTTTCACTGCTATGAAAATATCTTACATGTGTGTGTGTGTTTTAGGATGAGGGGGTGTGTGCTAGGACTTTCTGCGGTGCAGGTAGAGAGTGTGTATCGACCAACAGAGGAGAGCCGGTGTGTCGCTGTTTGCAGGTAGACTTTTATTAATGTTTTTTTATCCTTTTGTTTACAGATTACATTCAAAATAATGACAAAATTATTATTGTTTTAACTTAATCTGCATACTTTTCATGGATCATTATATATACCTCTAATTGAAATATTTCAGAAAGTTACATAAAAGCAGATATTTAATAGAAACAATTATCAATTTAATTTAGATCCATGCCCACTTTTCATTTATTTTTATTTTTATTTTTTCCTCGTGTCCTGTCTGGTTGTGAAGCAAACAGAATTGATGTCTGAATGCTGGTAACAAGCCTTGCAGATTTACTCTCAGGCAGAGCATCAAAGCTTGTGCTTTTAATGTCATGCCTGATACTTAAAACTTGATTGTTATTGTTTTTTGAATGCTTTATAATTTCGACCAGACACGGAGACAGAGGTGAAAGAGAAAGGAAGAAACAGGGGGGGGGGGGGGGGCGCAAAAATAAACAATCAATGATGAACAAGACCTGCTTCTAGACCTGCAGAAAGAGAAAAACAAACCAAAAATAAATAAATAAGAGGACACACGACAATACAGCAGGAGCACACTATCACTGCGTCAACCTGATGAGTAAATATAAAATTAACAATGTTTTATTGAACAATCACACAATAATAAATCACAGTGCATTTAGCCACAGCCTTAAATTGTGTTGAAAATGCCCAAGCCCATACTTATGAGAGCACCATGTGAGCACCTGTGCATGTTCAAGCGCTTGTATATGTAAGGTTTCTCTATAGGAGCGTCCAATAGAGAGTGTGAGGGGCCACAAATCTGGCCCCCAAAGATGTGTAGGAGATGGAGGGAGCTCCAAGTCCCAGAGATCCAGGAGCTGCCCCAGAGCGCAGGGACCCCAGGGAGACTGTAACTAGAAAAGCCCCAGCCTTCTCTCGAGAGGCGCAGAGGATTGCCCCGGGGGTTCACAACCAGCAGCTGTTAGAGTACCGGGAGATATCAGCGGCAAGCCCACAGGCCTGCCCGCAGCCTCCCACCCCCAAGCTGGTCAAGCCCGAAACCCAGCGACCCGGGACCCAGGGGCGACTAGCCCCGCCGGGGACCCAACAGAGCCCAGGGACTCAGATCCCACCAGGCAGCCACAGGGATCGATCAGGCAGACTCCAAAAATCTTAAACTATCTGGCCTGGGAGTCGCGAACACTCAGGCAGACCAAGGCACCACACTCCACACCAAATGTGGAAGGGGGAGGGTAGGCGAAGATGTGTAGCAGCACAAGATGTCCCAGGAGAGGGGAGGAGTCCAAGACCCCACCTGACATATGCAGCCATACACAGACACAGTCACACACTCCCTCCCTCATGCTCACACATAAACATACAGCCTAAGACTTACAAAAACGAACGCTAGACACCCACTCACGCCCACCATACACACCCTATTCACTCTGGTCCTGGTACTGCTGCACAAAGGTTACAACAATCACCGGTTCCCAGAGTTTGACCCTTTCTGCTGGGGGGTGATGATGAGCAGGCTCCCCCGCCCAACGCTGAGCACAGCAATCCACCACCCCAGACCCCAACATGACGGCCAGCTCCCCCTCCTAGCCTCCAGACCCGGGAAGCCAAGTGACAACAGAGGTGTGCTAAGACCCCTAGTCTCCCTCCGCCTTCTCTAGTACAGTGTTAGTGTGTGTTGATGAGGTGTATTCCATGGCTGTGGTGAGCAGGCAGTGCAGGCATCGTCTGGCCTATGCCAGCTGATGCAATCACACAACCCCACTTCCCCCCACAGCCCTCTATGTTTAAGAACAATTTAAAATAGGAAGTGGGCACCGGCACTCGGGATGAGGTTGAAAGATCCCCTTGCCAAATGCCATTGAGTGTGCTCACTCCCAAGGCCCTAAGTGTATGCTTGCGTGGAATGTCGCTGGTGGAAGTGTTTAAGATGCAAATAAAATTGGGGGGCAGGCTGCCACAGGAATGTGGAAATGGGGTCCATACCCACACCCCTGACTTGCCCACCCCCCAAGGTCCTATGTGCATGATTGTGTGATGATGTGAGGGAGCAGGAGGAGAAAAATGTATGGGGATGGGGAGGAATGGTTGGTTGGCCTAAGCCCTCCAGGGAACCAGCTCCCCCACTGGCCCCAATAGGCACCTCCATTCCTAAAATGCCCCCCGGGGCATGGAGATCCCAGCCCATCTTGCGAGGGCCCAAAGCAGCAGCATCGCAGAGTCCCATGGAGTCCGAGGGCAACAACCCAGCCCCACCCCAGCAGAATATCTACTCCCATCCCTGCATTTGCTCAACTTCCACAATATTTAAGACATGAGACATCCAGGTAAGGTTGGGTCCTCCCCCTCCTCGATATCGCCCTCCCCGTGATGGGACAGAGTTGTTATTATTCCAGAGGAGCCAAGGTCCACCTGAGGCCCTTGAGCCTGGGCCATGCACTGCCGCTTGTTCCTGCCTTCTTCCCGGCAGCTTACAAGTCAGGACCTCATCCCCAAGTCCTCGTCCAGATCCCCACAAGGGGCCCGCCGCCCCCACACCCCGAGCCCCCAGGCCCCCACCCAGACCTACTCAGGTGGGTACTTTTAGGGTAGAGAGGTCATGTTATCGAGTCAGTGTGTGTGTGTGTTAACTAGTGTTGGATTGTGTTCATTTTGATAAACTATAGTCTGTGAAGGCTGTACCAACTCCAGCGTGTCTGGACATCGAGTCCACGGGTTTCCAGATAAGAGAAACAACGCCTCTATCTCAGTGCCTGAGGGCATTTTGTGCAGCTGAAAAGACGGACTTCTGTAGCCTACATCAGTCTTTCCCGGGACAGGGAGGTCCGCGCTGGGCTCCGGAGATCCGTGGCGGTGTTTAAAAAATTAAATGCGGATTTCTGGAGCTCAGATCACTGTCCGAACCAGATCAGAACCGCCACACCAGGAGAGGATGTGCGGCTTTTAAAAATACCATCTCGACTGTCTTGCTCGTGTTTGGGTGAAATCCAGCTCACAGAAGCCTGCATGAGCTCCAGAACCGGATCACAGGTGTCTCTCTCCCTCTTTCTAAGAGCTAAACTACGATACATGAACGGATATTAGCGAGTATGAGAACGCTGACAGACACTCATTAGTATTAATATTAAATTAACTGACCAATACTATTTTAATTGTCTGGTACACGATAGTAATCTGTACAATATTGTGATGTTAGCACACGACTTTAAGCTAACATGGTTAACTCACCAGACACCTGCTGCTCCCCCGCTGCTTCTCCTCCTTAATTTCTCTGCTTTGGCCGATCGTTTCTCCCTCTGGTTTGTCTCTGCTCTCTGGGGCGTACAGCAAACTCATAACTTTATGGTTTTGGTCCATCATGAGTATAATTGTAAACATTTAAAGTTTCCTCTGTGTCAGAGCTGGTATTAGATTCCATACTTTTCTCTGGATTAAGCTAACAGGACTCCCTCAGCTGACGTCACTTGGTTTGGCAAAAAAAAAAAACACCTTTCTCACAAAAATGACTCTAAAAGCCAAAATAATTTATGTTTGTATAAAAAAATGTTTAAAACGAGTTTCTATTATGTTTCTCTAAACATTGGTTCATGGGAGTCTCTAACCTGCAATATGCTCTTTAATAGTGGATATTGGCCCAAACATTTCATATCGGTGTGTCACTACCATTCATTAATCATACCACATCCCAGCACGATGTTTTTTTAACCAGGACACAGCAAATGCTATCATCATCTCGGTAATGAATTATTAATTTTTCTGCGTACCCCCTGTAATGTGCTCAAGGACCACTAGGGGTACGCGTACCCCTGGTTGGGAATCACTGCTTTAGTCCACCAAAACCAATAACAGGTTTGGGCATTAAAACAAAAGTCCTGACTGAATGTTTTCTGTAATTTTTACTATTTAATTCTATCTTTTGCAGCATTGTGATGAATCAGAACACTGGGTGTGTGGCAGCAATAATAAATCCTACAGGAATCACTGTGAGCTGCACAGAGACGCCTGCAACACCCAAACAAAGGTCCATGTGGAGCACCGAGGACGCTGTGTGGGTCAGTGCAACAAATAACCTCACTCAGATGTAAAAAGCATGAGTCGTGAAAATGTTTTCTATTCTTTGCAGATGAACTGACAAAAACAAATGTGAGCCCCAGTAAGTAAAAACCTCCACAAACACGATCACTTCATGTTTTAATTTGTCATCTCTGAGCTTACATTGAAGCCATGCTGGTTTTTTTGTTATAGTCGTGTGCTTCCTGTCCGATCGTGACTGGTTGAGAGAAAAGGTGATCCAGTGGATTCAGTCAGAAATGGAATCAGATCTTCTGGTCTTAAAAGCATCATTATCCAGCAATGTTCTGCAAATGTACTTCCAGGTGATGTTTTGTGCCAGCTAGGCAAACACTAACAGCATGCAGAGCGTATCCCATGACCATCTATTATATAAAAACAGGAAGGTGGGTGGGTAAAGGCCGATTTCTCCCAAGTTAAAGGCAACGTGTACAGTTCTTTACATGTTCTCTGATTATTCATGTCACACACACACACACACACACACACACACACACACACACACACACACACACACACACACACACACACACACACACACAGAGTCAGAATTCACATTCAAATTATTATTATTATTAGCATCTGTCTCTTCTATGGAAAACAAACTAATTTACATGTTGAAGCACAGCAGAGAGGGAGGGGGAGGGGCCGGCAAGTTGTTTTACTCAAATCAGTGTTAATTTTGACAAGAGATTTTAACATAGTTTTAGTCTTTGTCTTTTGACAAAACATTTTTTTTATTTTAGTCACAATTTAGTTATCCAATTCATTTTAATTTTAGTCCAATTTTAGTCTACTAGAATACATAGCAATTGGAGTCAACCAAAATTAATGTTTTTTTTCCTGATGCAATCATTTCATTTCTGTCAATTGTGGTTGTCATCTCTTATTTGTAAATGAAGATATCAGTTAATATTCATCATAATTTAGTCTTTATTGGCATGTATGTTTTTGTTTTGTTTTAGTCCGCAAAAATGTATTCGTCACAAAAAATCAGATGAAAACAATGAAAATAACAAATTTAACACTAACTATGTAACTCTGTAATGATTTAGTTCAGTTGTACATTTATAAATATAAACAATAAACAACTGTACAAAAACAGTTAGTGTTAAATTTGTTATTTTCATTGTTTTCATCTCATGAATAATAACTGATATCTTCATTTACAAATAAGAGATGACAACCACAATTGACAGAAATGAAAATGATTGCATCAGAAAAAAAACCATTAATTTTGGTTGACTCCAATTGCTATGTATTCTGCTTCCATTATTGCAAGTGTTGTTGTCCCTTTTTCTCAGAATGCGTACTACTAACCATATTTCATGTTAATTTTAAAAGTTTTCTAGTCCATCATTTAACAATTTTTCTAGAATTTTTGATACATCTATCACTGAAAATGACATAGCTACTACTTCCTCCACTCCTACCAAAAAAGACTAAATAAAAACAAACTTTTATGGTTCCTTTGCTACTTTGGGATAAGATTCAAAGTCCAACCTTATTGAGCTGTTCAGATTTTCTATCTTGAAGACCTTCTTTTCTCTTTTTAAATGGCTGGAGTTATCCTTGTTGTGTTTGTATTTTTACATTACAGACCTATGATAATGGGGATTCTCAGCTTAATTCTAAAGAGTTCCTACACTTCCTGAGTCATAATGAGACTGCTCTGAACCTGACGTACTCTGATGCTCTCGAGACAAACCTGTTGCTCAGGTGCGTAACCTCTCTAAGTAAGACTGCAACATGTTTCACTCATTTATTCAATGTTCGGGTTTGGTTTCATTAGTCACCAATAATAATTTGAATGTGAATTTTGACTCAGTGTGTGTGTGTGTGTGTGTGTGTGTGTGTGTGTGTGTGTGTGTGTGTGTGTGTGTGTGTGTGTGTGTGTGTGGGTGTGGGTGTGGGTGCGCACATGTGTGTGCCTGTGTGTGTGAGCAACATGTCTCATAAATCAATGGATGGAGCAATAAAAAATATTTGCTGAAGGATGTTCGTCTACAATTCATTCACTTTTAGAGTTAACTTGGATTGCAAAAAAAATAGTATGACGCCGTAACCTTTCCTGATATTTAGCTAAAATGCAGTGTGATATTCTTGAGATGCAGGGTGATGTAGTCCTTGAATGGTTGAGAGTCATTTACATTAAATGCTTAAGTGCTAACAGATTTTGCATAACATTTTTTCATAAGTGTCTAAAAACTACAGCAGCATAGAGCAGCCATCCACACAAAATAAAATTGGAGCGATGTCACGTTATAACATTTTAACTTTGTTGTCACATTATAATTTTTAGGTAATTGTCACGTTTGTACACCATACTATCACATTTGTACAATATACTATCACGTTTGTACAATATACCGTCATGTTCTAACAATACAATTTTCACGTTTATTTTGTGTGGGTGGCAGCTCTACTCTGCCGTACAAACATCTTTAACTCCATCGTTTCTCAATATATGATGTTTTTATTATATATAAAAATTCCCATCTTATCCTCCGTGGGTGGTCTCATCCTTTCAAACTCAGGTCAGTGTTTCCCCTAGGAATTCTTCCAGCTGTGGTGGTGGTGTGTGTGTGTGTGTAGTGGGGTGGGTGGGAGTTGGGGGGGGGGGGGGGGATTATGACATGTCTCACCTTTATTGTTTTATTAGATGCACTCCACTTTGAACTGCACCAATCCAGCAACTGCTGCAATTTAGTAACTAGTATTAAAGGTGAATACACCAATATTTGCATGAAAATATTTTTTTTGTTTTAAACTCACAGTGACGCACTTTGCGGGGGGGGGGGGGGGGGGGGTGGCATTTAATTTTTCTTGGTGTCTGGAAAAACATCTCCTTTTGCCCCCCTGTATTTGACTTTCTGCCCCCTGTATTTTGGTCCAAGATCATTACTGGGCTGGCCCTATTAAAAACCTTCTACATCCCTGCTTAGTAGACTTAATGAAGTATTTTTAAGCCAGTATAAAAATGACTGAAACACAAATTGACATATTTGGCATTATTGACCAATATCTTTGATTTAATTTATTTGTTAAGAACATCAAGACGCATTGGAGCAGCAGTAGCTCAGGTGGTAGAGCGGGTTGCCTCATGATCGGAGGGTCATGGGTTCGATTCCAGCTCCCGCCAGGGGTATCCTGCTGTTGTGTCCTTGGGCAAGACACTTCACCCAACTTGCCTGTGTTAGTGGTGGTCAGAGGGGCCGACGGCGCCAAATGGCAGCCTCGTCTCTGTCAGACCTCCCCAGGGCGGCTGTGGCTACAAGTAGCTTACCATCACTAGCAGTGTGTGAATGTGAGAGTGTGTGAAAGCGTCTTTGGGTGTCTAGAAAAGCGCTATATAAGTTCAATGCATTATTATTACAGTGAACATCATAATAAAGTAAATGTTTCTAGTGCAGAGAGGAGACAACCCAAATATGCACTGATTTTATCTAATTTCAGAGAAAAATGGAACTGGTCAGATGCACCTAATAAATAAAATTACTAACAAACTCAGGAGTCTGTTTCTTTGCTTCATTGTTCTGTTGCTGAAAATATCAGTAATGCCGATCAAAGGAGATTGTCGTTGTTGTCGCCTTCCTCCGCTTATCCGGGTACAGGTCGCGGGGGCAGCATCCCAACTAGGGAGCTCCAGAGAGTCCTCTCCCCGGCCACCTCCACCAGCTCCTCCGGCAGGACCCCAAGGCGTTCCCAGACAAGATATGAGATGTAACCTCTCCAACGTGTCCTGGGTCAACCCGGGGCCTCCTGTAATCCACCCGCTTCTTAAAAAAACGAGTCTTGACCCCTCTTTCCAAAGCAGCTTCAGACCCATCTCTAAACTTCCGTTCATCTCCAAGATCTTGGAAAAGGTTGTGGCTAAACAACTCACAGCTGCTCTTGATGAACATAACATCTATGATAGCTTCCAGTCAGGTTTTCGTAGAGCTCATTCTACTGAAACAGCTCTTCTTAGGGTTTCTAATGACCTTCTGACTGACAGTGATGCAGGGGACTGTTCTGTTCTGGTCCTACTGGACCTGACTGCAGCCTTTGATACTGTTGACCATCACCTGCTACTGGAGAGGCTGAGAGACTGGGTAGGCCTTTCAGGATCTGCTCTGGAGTGGTTCTCCTCTTATCTTTCTGAGCGCTCCTTTTCTGTGGCCGTCTCCAAGTTTAGGTCCTCCACCACCTCCCTTACCCATGGTGTCCCACAAGGTTCTGTGCTGGGGCCTCTGCTCTTCCTCCTCTATCTGCTTCCTCTTCAGCACACCCTGAGCTTCTTCAAAGGAATCTCCTACCATCTTTATGCAGATGACATCCAACTGTACATCTCCTTTAAGCCCCATGAGATGTCTAAGCTGCAGCTGTTACACTCCTGCTTAGACTCTATTAAAACCTGGATGGCTGGGAGCTTTCTTCAGCTGAATGAAGATAAGACTGAGATCCTCATCTGTGCCCCAGACAAGCTGGTTCCCAAAGTCAGAGACTCTCTCGGTCAGCTTGCTTCCCACACCAAACCTTCTGTCAGGAATCTTGGTGTGACCTTTGACCCGGCTCTCACCCTGGATTCTCATGTCAGTTCTCTTGTTCGCTCTTCCTTCTTCCATCTCAGGAACATTGCTAAGCTGAGTCCCATTCTGTCCCGCTTTGAACTTGAGACAGTTCTCCACACCTTCATCTCCTCACGCTTAGACTACTGTAACTCTCTTTTCACGTGTCTGAGCAGAACCTCTCTGAACCGTCTACAGGTGGTTCAGAATGCCTGTGCTCGGCTTCTGACCAAGTCCTCCAAACACACCCACATCACCCCGCTTCTCCTCCAGCTTCACTGGCTGCCAGTCAACTTCAGGATTCATTTCAAGATCCTGGTTCTGGTCTATAGGGCCTTACATGGACAAGCACCATCTTACATGGGTGATCTTCTTAGTCCCTACACCCCCAGCAAGTCCCTGAGGTCCAGTGATCAAAGCCTACTGGTTGTGCAGCACCAGGCTAAAGACCAAAGGTGACAGATCATTTGCTGCTGTGGCCCCCAGACTCTGGACCTCTCTCCCCCTGAGTCTGAGATCAGTGGACTCAGTGGTCTCCTTTAAAAAGCAGCTGAAGACTCACTTGTTCAAGCTGGCTTTTATATGACCTTCTTCACCACTCTCTCTTTGTTCTGCTCTCCCCACCTATTCCACCTTCCTCAGGATCCACTGATTTCCCTCTTTCCTATTCACTCTCTCTCTTTCTTAACATTTTTTATCACAATTGTCTCTTTTTGCTCATTTTAAATATATTTTTAAACATTTTCTAAATGTATTTTTTATATTTTTACATTTTTTTGTTTTTGTGAAGCGCCTCGTGATTTTTATCTTGAGAAGCACTATAGAAATGATATTTTCTTCTTCTTCTTCTACATGCAAAGACAGATAATCCAGGCTTTATTTGTTATCATTGTGATGGTTATGGCTTACAGCATGATAATTAGAACATTGTGAAATGGTTCAATATTCTAGGCTCAAAATTTCTCACTCCAATCAGCTAGTGAATCCAAAGCACCTGGATTACTGAAATAAATAGACTTTGAAAACAATTTTCCAATTTTTTTTTTCATATTCTAATTTCACCTTTTGATGCAGAATTTATTACCCGGAAGTGTAAACACTTAGAGATCATCTGTCCTTTCAGGTCTCTGTGTGCTGATGCTTTAATTGAGTTGTCAGATGAAAATGCAGACTGGAAACTGAGTTTTAATGAGTTCACCAACTGCCTGACACCAACTTATCACCCACCAGAGAGACGTAAATACACACCACACACACACACACACACACACACACACACACACACACACACACACACACACACACACACACACACACACAAACGCATGCATTGTTCATGTGCATTGGCCTATTTTACTTGTTTTTCTTTTACATATTTTGTTTTGTCATTTCTATAGAACTAGCAAAACATGTTTTAAATGTGCTGTATAATTAAAGCTGAAACCGACCTGAAAGACATCTAAAATAAACTTGTGGTAAATGTATACAGTTTTGAGTCTATGCATAGATAATGTGGAAGAATGTTTACTGTGTTTTTATGTGTTTGAGCAGAGTGTGCCCTGGAGGAAGAAGTCTTTGAGGATGGAGCTGAAGCTCAGAAAGAGTGTAACAAATGTGTGTGTGCTTGTGGTAACTGGGTCTGCACCGCTCTGACCTGCAATGGTGAGAATGAACTAAAACCTGCCATTTGGTATTCCCAGAAAATGGTGGCTAAAAATGTTTGTGATGCTTTAAAGGTAATGTCACAGCAGATTTTGATCAAAATATTTGTATTTTAGGAGAGTATGAAGTAAAGGAGGATGTTTCTGTTGAAGAAGAAGAAGAAGAAGAAGAAGAAATGACAGAGGAAGAGTGGAGCCGGAGAGTGGCTGAGCTCAATGCTGCACAGGTTGATTTTTATTCAAGCGCACTTACAAAATGTTTACTTTCAGCACATTTTATTGTGATTGATTAATTTTGACGAGGTTTTTAAACCAAGTTGTTTCCTCAAAAAGACTCTTTGTTTCAGTTTCTGTAGGAGATCATTACCATGGAAACATGAGATGACCGCTAAATCATCCAATCAGCAATTGATTGATCACAGAAACAAGTCTTAGCTTTATTTGATATATTCTTGTCTTCTTAGCTGTTATAATTGCAATAAATATTGTATGTATGTTTTATTAGCCTAATTTGTGTTATTTAAGCATTTGTAAACCAACACAATGCAAACAAATAAAATATTTTTGATCATGTTTTTTGAAAAATGTTTGCTTTAGAATAATGGATTTTCTTTTAGCTGAGTTATTTTTGCTCTAAAGCTTAAGTACTAAAGGTGAAACTTATTCAGTTTTGAGATTACCTAAAACAATTTAGTTATAGAACTGCTAAAACCCAACACTGTTACTGGTGTTGAAAAAGCAAACTTGGTTAAATGTTAAATCAATCAATAAGGTCTCCAGACAGACTCCTCCCCTCTCATAGAAAGACACGCCCCCTCAATGTAATTGGTCATCGCAGTGACAATATTGCGGTCCTCCCCTGTGGTTTGGAGCGGTTGGTTTGGTCCGTAGTAGAAGCTGCCAGCCTGGAATGATCCACTGTGGCTCAGTGAAGGGGGCATGGTTGGAGGAGATGACAGGTAGGTGGAGCTATAAGGGGTTGGATGGGTGGAGTAGGCAGGCAAGTGGTGCACCCTGGGAGCTGAAGCAAATGTGGATGTCAAATGAGTGACTTGACCAAGAAATGATGGCTCATTGGTCCACACAGAGGGGGCGAAGGGTCTACAATCTGAGGGGGAAATCATGCACAAAAATGTCATTTAATAAAAGAGTATTCAGCTGCATCTCTTGATCTTCATCAGTGAACTCATTTTCAGTTAACTTATTTATAACTCCAGAACATATTATTCAAAGAACACCTTTCCTCTCTTACCCGATGAAGTAGTGCACACTCCAGATTTCAGCTCCTTCTGTCTCTGTCCTAAGAAGAAAATCCATGTGAGTCACAGACGACCACAGATTTGACCACAGACGTATTGTTTTAAAGTAACTAACGTCTTGGAAGCCGAGGTCCGTCTACAGTAATCTTAATGGCTCGCTGTAAAGTGGCAATCTGAGGAGGTGAGGTCATCACATTTATAGTCAGGGTGAAAGTTTTACCTGAAAACCATCAAGCATCAATAAAAAGATATCAGAAATAGTTTAAAGTAAATTTCAGTAACAAAGTTTACTTTTAGCTCATTTTCTCTACTTTCCACAACAGCATTCCATGTTTTATCTCCACCTTGAGCCTCTTGAATGGTTCAGTTAGTCATTTCAGTCAATCAAAAATTTTCATCAGGGGCATTGTCAGCGTAAAAAACATCAAAGATGGCTGTTCTCATCCAGGAAGTGACAATGAAACTTAATAATAGGAAATAAGATGGAAGAGAGGAACAGGTGTATCAGGGGTATATTGAGTACCTCTGCCGCTGCGCCCTATGAAGCGGAGGTCATTGAACTGAGCATAACCCTGCTTCATTGTTGCTGTGGCATTACGTAGCTCCGCGCTGCAGTTGTCATCATTACCAGCCATCACTGTCACAACCATGCCATCAGGCACATCGTTGCCCAGGGAAACCACCTGTTAAAACATTACATATTCTCTAAAGTTGTAATATTTGAGTATTTCAATAAGTCAAAAATCTGAAACTCAAGAAAAGATATTTTAAAGAAGAAGAAGCAACAATTTTATATATAGCACCTCTTAAGATATAAATCACGAGGCACTTAAATTAACACCATTGATAGGCTGGCTGCTCACAGTAAAAGCTCTCGGCAAAGTCTTGTTACACCTCCAGTGCTGGGGCAAGCTGCTGCACAGGAAGTTGGGACTGTCGGTCTGAACCAGGCCTTTGTGGGACACTCTACTGCGATGCCGTGTTGCAGTTCTCACATCCTGCTCATCCACCTGCTGTTTGTTAGGTGATGGTGGCTGCTGAGATCTCTCTGGACAGCAATCACAAAAATAATTCAGAGTTGTGACACTCATAGACATAACTCTTTAAACGTCTTTGGGAAATTGAAACTTGACTTACTTTTTATTATGACTAAGGCTCTATTAACACATGGATGTTATTATTAGTTATTCAATTATTCCTTCTTTTCTTTAAACTATTGGAAATAAGATTCCAATAATTTCTCCCTCTTGAAATCAAAAGCTGAAGCTATGTGTCAAACTAATCTGAACAAAAATGATAAACTTCTGTCATGTATTGTTTTGTAGCCTAGACGTTGAAAATACTTCTCAACAGCCTTTTTGAATTACTACAATACATTTCTACCTACCTACCTACCTACCTACCTACCTACCTACCTCCCTCATAGACATGATATACATAGACGCCCATGGAGCTGCCATAGTGGATGGCCGCCAACCTGGATGGGTCTTCATTCACCCCCAGTACATGTATTTCTGCTGCGGAAGGTGCTTACCCAACTTAAATACACATTTTATCATACTTTTTCAGATAATCAGACAAACGGTATGGAATGATAGTTAAAATATATTTGTAATAAAATACATTTTAAAAAATGTTAAGTATAAAATCCCAACAAGTAGGCTAGAAAAGTCCCAGTAAAGTCCCACAACATCGGTTTTCAATAATGTACCGGTGTTCCGACTCTCTGTGCTACTTGTCCATATGTGATATTTTGGGGAAGTGCACATGTGCAGACTGCTGACTGATTGGTTGGCACCATTAGGGGGGGCCTCCGATTGGCGGGTAGAATCAGCCTGCTAAACTGATAAACTTGGTAAACTTTGTTTTTTAGTTGTGTGAACACCTTCCTGAGTAGAAATAAATGCACTGGGGTCTGGGGACGAATGGAGACCCATCTAAGAAGGCGGCCGGCCACTACAGTGGCACCAGTCCATGGGGCGTCTATGTAATTATTTATATGGTCTATGTATTCATGTCAAGTACTTTACAATCACTGTAAAAAGTTAACTTCTAACCAGTAAAAAACTTTTAACTTTGTAAACATTACTACCATTACAAAGTTGCAAAGTGAAATAAAAAAAAATTTGTTCTCGTTAGAATATTTAAAAGGAAACTTTGTGAAAAGGAACGTTTGGTTTTAACCAAGAAATAATAGGAAACTACAATCCCCAAAGTGCTGTGCTTTCTCGGCGATACGTCATCAACGCGCGACGAAACTTTAACAGCATCAACAATAACCTGTCGAGACGTTTTACCGAAGGAGTTTGGTGGGTTTTGATTAATTTTGTCCATCTTCTCTGTGTTTTGACTTCTTTCTCTTCCTCCTTCTGCCCACTTTACCCTTTATTGTTTTATCTGGTGTGCTTAACTCACCGCAGTGTTTGAATAGGAGGGAACTGTATTATTATTCAGATTGTACTGCCGGAGGGGACGTTACTGCGGTCACACCACCTGTCCAACGTGTCTCTGTTTGGACGCTGTGTGTGTTTTTTCGCCTCACATCTTTTCTGCTATCTTGTTTTTCTAAGCTCTTGTCTCAGCTTTTGTTCTTTAATCTCTCAAAGTTTAAGTCGGATAAAAGTCGCATCGGAATGTAAACAGTCATACAATTCACACAGCCGCTTAAAAATTAGGTTTTCTTTCTAGAAAAATAAACTTTTAATCTATTTAAGGAGAGAAGGGAGACCACTTGAGCAAAAGCAGCCATATTTTGGATTGAGTAGTTTGGGCATGCGCAATCAAACTTAATTAGAATTGTAGCAGAACTAAGCAATGTGTAAAACCAGAGGTATAAAAAGATTTAGCACATAACATGTGCTGTTAGAAAAGGAAGTTTTCTACTTTTAGTAGAAACCTAATTGTGGAATAATAAAACTCCTCAGTATGATTTGTTTATCTGTGGCAAATAAATAACCAGCTTGCTTTTTCCTTGAGCAGTTTGGTCCTGCTATTATCAGACAACAGCTTTTATTTTTTATAAATTGTTGAAGTTTTTTTTTTGATAAAGCATATTGTGTTTGATATTATTTACGGAGGATCTTGGTCATGCTGAGATCTACAATTTACCTAAAATATTCTCAAATGTTCCTTATATGATGTTCAATGCAATAATGCGTAAGGTTACATGTCAGGTAAGGCTAAATGTTTGGTGGTTTAGTGACGAGCTACCAACACTTTTAGTGCATTCTGAGCTGTTTTTGTATCATCAGGTGTTCGTGGTTATGAGCAGTCCGATGGCTGGTTCTGCCTCCTCCGCTTCTAAAGACCGTCCAGCCTCCAGGACCAGTTTCATCCCTGAGCTGCAGAGCATGATGTAACACACACACACACACACACACACACACACACACACACACACACACACACACACACACACACAGACACAGACAGACAGACAGACACACAGACACACACACACACACACACACACACACACACACACTCTGAAAACATATCTCACCCCAGTACAGCATCGGACTGGTGCTGCTGAACAGACTGTTTGAAGCCATAAGAACCTGGTGGACAAGTGAGAACCAGGAAGGTTAAACTGAGAGGTGTTCAGATCCAAACACAAATGTTATAAAACAATATAGTTTTTTAAAAGTTTATTTTGTGTTCATGATTTAAGCATTTTCATTTTAGTTAGATTGTTATGCGGTGAAGAGCTGATGAAAATGCAGAAAACTTTGCTCAGGAGAGACTTCTCAGACTTCCTCACTTCTTACATAAACAGTTCATAAATCCTATCAGTGTTAGTTGTTATATATGAAATAAATATGATAATAGTATAAATATATACATAACATTTATGTTATGTATATATAAATGGTGGTCTTCATATTAATTTGTTAAATATGTATGTATGCATTATACACACACTCACATGCACACTCGTAGAAAAAAAAATACTTAGCACACACATTTAGGAATGTATATACCTTAAATACTATATATATTATTACTTAGATTAGCCGTTTTTATATTTTGCTTGTTTTTACGTTATTGTATTTTGCACAACTGTTGCTGTGAAGCTCGCACACAAGAATTTCACTCACATGTACTGTACTAGTGTACCTGCACATGTGACGTGACAATAAAAGCGATTTGATTTGATTTGACATAAACGTGCTTCAGAATGCTCTGGAACATTTCAGGAAATATACAAAAGTAAGAAAGTAAAACGTCATTCCAACAAATAATGTGTCGAGGGACTGACGAGCAGCAGATGTTTGGAGTGATACTACTACTACTACTACTAGTACTACTACTACTACTACTAATAATAATAATAGTAATAATAATAATTGTATTAATACCGTATTTAAAGTGTATGTAATTTTAGAAAAGGGATGGAAGTTGGTGCGCAAGTTTGTGAGCTGAATTATTAGAAGCAAGTTCATTTAATTCTGCAAATATTGGTTCTTTTTTCCCTAAATCAGCTGTCATGTTGTGGCATCCATGTGTGTGTGTGTGTGCACTCACCTTGTGTTTGGCTGAGGTGTGTTGCTGGTGGTTAAAGAGGCTGAAACCCAACTAAACCCCAAAACCTAAAGCT